CACAAATATGAAAAACATGATGAGAAGAATCAATATTGTTAAAATGGTCATACTGCCCAAAACAATTTATACACTCAATGCTATTCCATTATACTACTACTGACATTCTTCACAGAACTAGAAACATCTATTTTAAAATTCATATGGACCCATCAACGAGTCCAAATAGTCAAGGCAATCCTAAGCAAAAAGAATAAAGCAGGAGGCATCACACTACCCGACTTCAAACTATACTACAGGCCTACAGTAATCCTAACAGCATGGTATTTGTACAAGAACAGGCACATAAACCAGTGGAACAGAACAGAGAATTTGGAATAAGACCACACATCTGTAAACATCTGATCTTTGACAAACCAGACAAAACCAAACAATGGGGAAAGGACTCCCTATTAAATAATTGATGCTGGGATAAGAGGCTAGCCATATAGAAAATTGAAACTGACCTCTTCTTTACATCATATACAAAAAAATTGACTCAAGATGAATTAAAGACTTAAATGTAAATTTAACTCATTTTGATATTGTTTCTTATGCATAAAAAATTTAATACCTCTTCAATGTACTATATCCATTTGCTTGCGTTTGTGATTATACTTCCATAGATCCAATCTCAGAAAAATTATTCTGTGTTCAATAAAGGCAATAAGATGGATGGATGATTTAGTTCCTACCTTCATTTTCCCTGTCTCGAGGTCACCGTCCTATCCTATCTGATGTTCACTGTCTGAAGACCATTGATACGTATATTTTATCAAAAATTTCTTAGTTTATTTAAGCCAAGAATGCAAACCTAGTCCTTATTGTGCCATGTGTCTGGAATAAGTTCCAGTGTTATAAAAAACATATGAAGTCTAATGTGAATACCAGTCAAAGTCGACTTCACAGGAAAATCAGTACAAAAGAGAAAGAGAAACATTTTATAATGATAAAATAATTGATTCATTTAAAAGACAAAACAATTTGAAATGCATATGCTCTTAATAATATAACTTCAAATTATATAAAGTAAAATTTTATATATCTAGAAAGAACAGCCAAATTCATAATCTAATGATATCAAGTGGGTTTTATACCAGGGATGCAGGGATGGTTTAACATATACAAGTCATAAATGTGATACATCACATAAACATAATTAAAAACAAAAATTGTATGACCATCTCAATAGACACAGAAAAAACATTTGGCAAAATTCAGAATCCCTTTATGATTAAAATCCTCAGCAAAATTGGCATAGAAGGGGCATACCTCAAGGTGATACAAGCCATCTATAACAAACCCACCGTCAGTCAACATCATACTGAATAGGGAAAAGTTTAAAAGCATTCCCCCTGAGAATATGATGCCTGCTCACCACATCTATTAATCATAGTTCTGGAAGTCCTACCCAGAGCAATCAGACGAAAGAAAGAAAGGGCATCCAAATCAGTGAAGAGGAGGTCAAACTGTCACTGATTTCTAATGATACTATTATATCTAGATAACTCTAAAGACTCATCTAAAGAGCTCCTAGATATCATAAATTCAGTTAAGTTTCAGGACACAAAAATCAATGTACACAAATTATTAGCACTGCTATATACCAGCAACAACCAAGCTGAGAATCAAATAAATAACTTAATCCTTTTTCCAACAACTGCCATATATTTATACATACATATATACATATATATGTGTGTGTGTATATATGTATATATATGCATATGCATGTGTGTGTATATATATATGTGCGGGTGTGTGTATATATACGTGTATATATATACACTTGTAGTCCCAGCTACACAGGAGGCTGAGGTGGGAGGATCACTTGAGCCCAAGAGTTGGAGGCTGCAGTGAGACATCATCGCACCACTGCACTCCAGCCTGGGAGACAGAGCAAGACACCATATCAAAAAAAAAAAAAAAAAAGAAAAAGAAAAGAAAACAACATTATGAACATTCTCACCCCAAGCCTTCCTGGTGTCAGTTTCAATAACCATTCCCCTCTCTCCCAAAGGTAACCAGACTCTTTGTTTGTTTGTTGAGACAGGGTCTTGCTCTGTTGCCCAGGCTGGAGTGCAATGGTGTGATTATGGCTCACTGCAGCCTTGAATTCCTGGGCTCAAGCAATCCTCCTGCCTCAGCCTCCTGAGTAGTTGAGACTACAGTTGCAAACCACCATGTGCAACTGATTTTTGTATTATTTTGTAGAAATGGGGTTTCACCAATTTGCCCAGTCTGCTCTCAAACTCCTGGTCTCAAGCAATCTACATATCTTGGCCTCCCAAAGTGCTGGGATTATAGGCATGAGCCTCCACACCCGGCTCAGGTTATGCACTTTTATAGTCAGTAGTATTAGTAACATGTGGTTGTATCCTTCTCCCTATTTTTTTTTTTTCTAAGACAGAGTCTCACTCTGTCCCCCAGGCTAGAGTGCAGTGGCATGGGTTCGGCTCACTGCAGCCTCTGCCTCCTGGGTTCAAGCAAGTCTCCCACTTCAGCCTCCCGAGTAGCTGGGATTATAGGCACGCGCCACCACGCCCAGCTAATTTTTATATTTTTAGTAGAGACGGGGTTTTGCCATGTTGATCAGGCTGGTCTTGAACTTCTGACCTCAGGTGATATGCCCACCTCGGCCTCCCAAAGTGCTGGGATTACAGGCATGAGCCACCATGCCCAGCCTTTTCTTTCTTTGTTTTTTTGAGACAGAATTTATCTCTCTCACCTAGGCTGGAGTTCAGTGGCACGATCTTGGCTCACTGCAACCCCCACCTCCTCGGTTAAAGCAATTTTTGAACCTTGGCCTCCCAAGTAGATGGAACTACAGGTGTGTGCCACCACACCCAGATAATTTTTGTATTTTTATTCTTTTTTATTTTATTTTATTTTATTTTATTTTTGAGACAGAGTCCACAGCCCAGGTTGGAGTGCAGTGGCGTTACTTCAGCTCACTGCATCCTCTGTATCCTGGTTCAAGAGATTCTCTTGCCTCAGCCTCCCGAGTAGCTGGGATTACAGGCATGCACCACCACGCCCAACTAATTTTTGTATTTTTAGTAGAGATGGGGTTTCGCCATGTTGGCCAGGCTGGTCTTGAACTCCTGACCACTTTGGGAGGACGAGGCAGGTGGATCACAAGGTCAGGAGTTTGAGACCAGCCTGATCAACATGGTGGAACCCCATCTCTACTAAAAATACAAAAAGTTAGCTAGGTGTGGTGGTGAGCACCTGTAGTCCCAGCTACTCGGGAGGCTGAGGCAGGAGAATCACTTGAAACAAGGAGGCAGAGGATGCAGTGAGCTGAGATCGCACCGACAAAGTGAGACTCTGTCTCAAAAAAAATAATAATAAAATAAAAAAAGTTGTAGGTTTTTTTTTTTTGAAAAGGAAAATATACAATTACATGTTGGCTGTGGATTTATTTGAAAAAAAAAAGAAAAAATATACAATTAGAAAAATTCTACTGTTAGGAATGAAGTCACCTCTTAATTACAGGGAAATCATTTAGATCTTAATGTATTGTGTATTCCAGTGCTGTGGTGTAAAAACTTATTTTAGTCTGTGCTGATAAAAAATAGCATTATCATTCAACAGTTGGGGTGTATTTGTAAAAAACAAAACCAAAGAAAAATAAATATATTGACAAAAACGTGAACTAGAAAATTTTGATAATATGGTTAATCAAGTAGAAGTGGTAGTCTGAAGAAAGTCCGTTCTTCATGGAAACAGGTAGACTTCTCAGCTATCCTGCTATTCAATAGAAAGATGGAGCCGGGAGTACTGGCTCATGCCTGTAATCTCAGCACTTTGGAAGGCCGAGGCGGGCAGATCACTTGAGGCCAGGAGTTTGAGGCCAGCCTGGCTAACTTGGTTGAAACCCCATCTCTACCAAAAATACAAAAAACTAGCTGAGCCTGGTGGCAGGCACCTGTAATCCCAGCTACTCGAGAGGCTGAGACAAGAGAATTACTTGAACCTGGGAGGTGGAGGTTGCAGTGAGCTGAGATCATGCCATTGCACTCCTGGGTGACAAAGTGAGATAAGAAAGGAAGAGAAGAGAAAGTAAAGGGAGGGGAGGGAAGGGGAAAGAGAGAGAGATAGAGAGACGGGGGGGGAGAGAGAGAGAGACAGAAAGAGAGAGAGATAGACAGAAAGAGAGAGAGAGACAGGAAAGAAAAGAAAAGGGAGGGAGGGAGGGAGGGAGGAATCCTCTTACTGGGCTTCTATTATGAAGCCTGTTTTTAAAATCACTTTTATTGAGACAGCATTTATGTACAATAAAAATGCACCCATCTTAAGTGTACAGTTCAATGAGTTTTGACAAATCTGTGCATCCATGCAACCACCACCACAATCGTGATATAGAATATTTCCATCACCTCAGAAAGTTCTCCCATGCCTTTTTGCAGTCAACCCTCCTCTCATGGCCCCAGGAAACCTCTGCTCTGCTCTCTGCCACCATAGATTAGTTTCACCTATTTTAGAATTTCTATAAATGAAAGCATACAGTATGTATTATTTTCCTCTAGCTTCTTTTGATTGTCTGTTTATTTTAATGATTATAGAGCAAACTTATGTTTACATGTGCCATAGTTTATGTCTCCTGTGTTAGATAACTGTGGGAAATAATAAAATAATAGGTAGGATACAACATGGGTTCATAAATTCTACTTATTAGCTATTTTAGATGTCATGGAATGCAAAATGAACAGAGTTTTTAATATGTCTTTTCCCACTTCTGAAAACTTCATGAAGCACATAGGGACCCTCAGAATAGCATTTTATTTATTTATTTTTATTTTTTGAGACAGAATCTCACTCTTTCACCCAGGCTGCAGCGCAGTGGTATGATCTTGGCTCACTGCAACCTCCACCTCTTGGGTTCAAGCGATTCTCGTGCCTCAGCCTCCCAAGTACGTGGGACTACAGGCATGCACCACTATTCCTAGCTAATTTTTTATATTTTTAGTAGAAATGGAGTTTCACTATGTTGGCCAGGTTGGTCTCAAACTCCTGACCTCAGGTGATCCACCTGCCTTGGCCTTCCAAAGTGCTGGGATTATAGGCGTGAGCCACCGCACCTGGCAGCATTTCATTTCTGAGATGCCATTTACAATCTGCCCTGTCCTTTCGGAAAAGTTTAGAATCTAAAGCCAACCCCAGGATATACCTTGTTTCTAGTCTGGTACCAGCTTCTGTCACTCAGCCCCTTCCATGTCCTCTCCTGACAAAGCCGAGTCCCTTTGCATTTTATAGAGCTCACCTAACCGGCTCGGCTCAGGCGGTAATGAAAGGGACCAGTGGAGTGTAAATTCCTGCAGGTGCAGGACAAGGGGGTTGAGAGGGCTCTCACACCAGATGTCCCCTCAGCTCGAAGGGCAGAGAATCAGGTTCCAGAGTGTCCAAGTCTCCTGCCACCCGGTCATAGATTCCTCTTGGATCCTGATATGCGTCTTCAGGCCAGCGGAGGTTCCAGAGGTCCTGACAGGCAAAAAGTGGAGTTAGAACCATGGAGAGATGCCCTGTAGGTCTTCATTGAAGATCTGGGGGATACACGCCCCTGCTTAACTTTCCAGACAAAAACTGTTTTAGTTTTTACTAAACCCCCAAAATATACAAAAAAGGAGTGTGTTATAATGAACGCCTATGATGAACCCCATGTGCTTATCGCCTGACTTCAATAATATCAGGCCAGGCACCGTGGCTCATGCCTGTAATTCCAGCACTTTGGGAGGCCAAAGCAGGAGGATTTCTTGAGACCAGGAGTTCAAGACCAGCCTGGGCAACATAGTGAGATCCTGCATCTACAAAAAATATATATATATTTTTCTTAGACAGGGTCTGGCTCTGTCACCCAGGCTGGAGTGCAATGGTTGCTCCCTGCAACCTCCACCTTCTGGGCTCAATCCATTCTCCTGCCTCAGCCTCCCAAGTAGCTGGGACTACAGGCACACACCACCACACCCAGCTAATTTTTGAATTTTTTTTTTTTTTTTTTTCAGAGACGAGGCTTCCATTGTTGCCCAGGCTGGTCTTGTACTCCTAAGTTCAATTGATCCACCCGTCTCAGCCTCCCAAAGTGCTGGGATTATAACTGTGAGCCACTGCACCCAGCCTATAAAAAAGATTTTTAAAAAAATTAGCTAGGTGTGGTGGTGAGTGCCTATAGTCCTAGATACTCAGGAGGCTGAGGTAAGAGGATCGCTTGAGCCCAGGAGGTCAAGGCTGCAGTGAGCCATGATTATGCCACTGTACTCCAGCCTGGTTGATAGAGTGAGACTGTCTCAAAAAAAGAAAAAAGAAAAAACCAGTAGCAACCCTTGCTCAATTGATTTATCTATATTTCTATCTTATTCCCCTCCCACACTAACTGGATTATTTTGAAGCAAGCCCAAGATATCCAATGATTTCATGTTAGAAAAATAATGTAAATGTCAGAAATATAAAACCTTTAGGCTGAGGATGGTGACTCATGCCTGTAATGCTAGCATTTTGGGAGGCCAAGGCAGGCGGATCACTTGAGGTCAGGAGTTCAAGACCAGCCTGGGCAATGGGCAAAAAAACCCTGTCTCTACTAAGAATACAAAAATTAGCCAGGCATGATGGTGCATGCCTGTAATCCCAGCTACTTGGGAGGCTGAGGCAGGAGAATCGCTTGAACTTGGGAGGCAGAGGTTGCAGTGAGCTGAGATTGTGCTACTGCACTCCAGCCTGGGTTACAGAGCGAGCCTCCATTAAAATTTTTAAAAATGAACACTTTAAAAGTCCATGTTATCAGCTATGGCAACTATGGAATGTAAGTTATGATTCTATTGTCCTATGAATTTCCAAAACAGTTCTATAATCATAATAGAAGAGAAAAACAAAACAAAACAAAACAAACAAACAAACCAAAAACATGAAAGGTGGCCCTAACTGGGGATGTGTTTTGTTCTAGGGCTGGGAGAAAATGATTATTTTAGTTCAGCAGACTTCAGAGCAAATTGGCCCATACTCCAAATATGGCCTGCCATCTGCTTTTTTTTTACTGCCCAAGAGCTAAGAATGGTTTTCATTTATTTTTCTTTTTTTCTTTTCTTCTTTTTTTTGAGACGGAGTCTTGGTCTGTTGCCCAGGCTGGAGTGCAGTGGCGCAATCTTGGCTCACTGCAACCTCTGCCTCCTGGGTTTAAGCAATTCTTCTGCCTCAGCCTCCCGAGTGGCTGGGACTGCTGGCGCCTGCCACAACGCCCGGTTAACTTTTTGCATTTTTAGTAGAGATGGGGTTTCACCATGTTGGTCAGGTTGGTCTGAAACTCCTGGTCTCAAGTGATCCGCCTGCCTCGGCCTCCCAAAGTGCTGGGATTACAGGAATGAGCCACCGTGCCCAGCCCTGTTTTTCATTTTTTAATTGTTGAGGAAAAATGAAAAAAGATAACATTTGTGACACAGAAAAATTACATGAAGTTCAGATTACAGTGTCCAAAAATAAAGTTTTGTAGGAACATAGCCACACTCATTCATTTATGCATCGTCTATGGCTGCTTTTACTTTACAGTGGCAGAGTTTGTGTAGAGTTTGAGGAAGACCGTATGTCTCACACAGCCCAAAGGGTTTACTATCTGGCCCTTTTCGAAAAAAGCCTGCAGCCTCCATCTGCGGATCTCTTAAAGAGAGCGCATATGGTCCAGCACCATGGACAGCGCTCTGCACCATGCTGGTGAGGAGCTAGGATCTGATAACAGTGCCTTGTATCGGAGGTCGTTCACAGAGACAGAAGGAAATCCTTGGACCAGAGGTGCCAGAGCATCAGCCAAGGCCACACAAGAAATCAGGGGTTCTGTCCCATCTCCCTAACTGTGCAGCAATGGGTGGGGGTTGGCTGGTGGTCAAAGTGCCTGTCTGTTGTTTCTGCCTGTACAGCCACCATCCTCACTTCCCTGCGAGCTCTGTCCCTCTCCCATTCTCAGCCCAGTGAACTGAGTGGGGCTGGCCCCTACTCCCTGATCGCATGGTGAACTGACCCAGGCCTCTCCTGTTAGCATATTCCATCCCCTGACTCAGGGATGTGTTCAGGGATGAGAATGTGACCCAAACTAGACCAATAAGTGTCAGCATTGGGCATTTGGGGCCACTGGAAAATAGGCGTTCTCTTTCTTTGAAGATTTCTAATCTCGTAGGATACAAATCTAGATTTTCTGGGAACATTTTTTCCCTTTCTTTTTTGAAACATGGTCTCTCAGGCTGGAATGCAGTGGCCCAGTCAGGGCTCACGGCAGCCTCAACTTCCCTGGCTCAGGCGTTCCTCCTACCTCAGCCTCCTGAGTAGCTGGGACCACAGGCATGCATCACTATGCCCAGTTAGTTTTTTAAACTTTTTTTTTTTTTGACACAGAGTCTTGCTCTGTTGCCCAGGCTGGAGTGCAGTGGCATGATCTCCGCTCACTGCAACCTCCGCCTCTCAGGTTCAAGCAATTCTCCTGCGTCAGCCTCCCAAGTAGCTGGGATTACAAGTGTGTGCCACCACACCCAGATAATTTTTGCATGTTTTGTAGAAACAAGGTTTCACCATGTTAGCCAGACTGGTCTCGAACTCTTGACCTCAGGTAATCCACCCGCCTCGGCCTCTCAGAGTGTTGGGATTACAGGCGTGAGCCACCATGCTCGGCTTTTTTTTTTTTTTTTTTTTTCAAGATGGGGTCTTATTATGTTGCCCAGGCTGGTCTCCAACACCTGGGCTCAAGCAATCCACCTACCCCAGCCTGCTGAGATTAGAGATGTGAGCTGTGACCATGCCTAGCCATAATAGCATTTTTGGGGAGGAAAATTCTGGGCCCAGCTGGGCCTGATGACAATTGTATGCCTTGATTTTTCAGTTGAATGGGCCCCCAAATTTTCTCTTTCTCTCCCTTTAATCAGTGGAGTAGATACGGGTAATTATCTAAAAATATTCATGTCTACTTCCTTCCACAGCAGCAGAATTGCAGCAAGGCACATCACTGCCAAGCTAGACCATATTTTACAGCCTCCTTTGCCATCAGGTGTGACCGTGTGACTCTATTCTCATCAGGGGAGTGAGAGCAGAGTGGTGTGCACCATTTCTGGGCCTGGGCCACAAGGCAAGGTTGTGCCTTCTCCACATTCTTTCACCTTTTCCCATGGGTTGAACCCCCAGTGAACTAGCCCATTCATTTAGACTCAGATGACTTGAGCAGGGCCGCTTGTGTCTGACTGTGAAAAAGAAATAGACTGCCATCTTTTTTTTCACAGACAGGGTCTTGCTCTGTTGCCCATACTGGAGTGCAGTGGTGCCATCATGGCTCACTGCAGCTTCTAACTCCTGAGCTCAAGGGATCCTCCTGGCTCAGCCTCCTGAGTAGCTGGGACTATAGGTGCACACCTCCATGCCTGGCTCGTTTTTTTAATCTTTTGTAGAGACAAGTCACTATATTGCCCAGGCTTGTCTCAAACTCATGGGCTCAAGCGATTTTCCTGCCTTGACCTCCCAAAGTGTTGGGATTACAGGCATGAACCATCATGCCCAGCCAACTGTCTTCTTTAAACCACTGGATCATGGTCAGGCCTCTTTGTTACAGCAGCTAGCTGGCCCTAACTTAATACAAGCAGTAGGAGGTAGGCTCCCAGCACTAGCCAGGAAGGATGGCTGCTGATGCAAAGCTCCTCACCATCTGCACTTCAACGTAGAGGGGTCCCCAGGCTCCAGACAGGGGGTACGTTCTTTCTGCCTCATCATACAAGTGCCCAGGGAAGGCCATATCCTCATCTTCACCTGTGAAACCTGGAGTTGGAGTGGAAGGGAGACATGATCAAGGCACCCGGTCCAGGCGTCGGGGGTACCTCTGAGTGGGGTTCTAACTCACCTTGGGAATAAGACACCTCCTCCTGTGTCAGGGGCAGCTGGGGGCTGAAGTCCCTCAGGGAGCGGTAATACGGCTCTGCCTCTGTTGTGCTGACCTGTTCCCCACACGCAAAACAGACAAAGCCCTTTCCATCCTCTGACCCCACGGTCCCAGGAAGGGCAGTGATCAACCTGATGCTAACGGCAGGGTTTCAGTCACCGTTGGTGCCCTGACTGTGGGGTCTCCAGGGCCACCCCCACTCACCATGGAGCTCCGAGTGTCCTGCTCTCCTGTCCACTGGCTCTCCTCATATTCGTTCCTGACTCGGTCCTCTGACCTTCCAGGATGGAGGTGTGGAGGGCAGTTGAGTGCTGCCCCCCGCCACCCATCTCCCCCAAACCTCCTCCCTCAGAGCCTTCTTTACAGAAAAATATCCCCACTTACTCTGCCTCTGGCTTCCCTGAGATGCCTGAAGGAAACAGGAATAAAGGGCTCAGTGACCCCATACAAGCCCCTCCCCTGGCCCCAGGAAGTTCCCCATCACCCTCAGGTCTCCACCCCCGCAGGGAAGGTCTCTCCTCACCCTCAGCAAGACGCCTGAGTCTCCGCTGCCAGAGGACCCCCCCCCGACACAGGAGGCATTGGAGAGGAGCAGAAGCCCCCCAAGACCAAGCAGCACAGGCAGCAGGGGCAGCCCCGAGGGTCCTAGGGGTAGAAGATACCCCTCAGTGAATCCCAGACAACAGGCTGTAGGCCAGGAGTGGGTCTCCCCGAGAAAGCCTACCCCTGAACCAAGTCCCTCCCCCAGGGTCAGAGAAACAGATGGGGAGGGGTCTCTGTGTCCAACCCTTCTGCCACCCAAGGGCAGGTGGCCTCTTAAGTCAAGCCATTAACAAAATGTCCTCCCTTTGCTTGAACTCTGCAAACTCAGAACTGAACTCCGGACTCGGGAGGGAGCTTCAGCTCCTTAGCTGGGCACTGAAGACTTTCTGTGGTCCAGCCTCTTCCAACGCCTCCAGCCATGTCCACTGAACTTAGACCCTGGTACTGGATTGTCCAGCCACACAAACCAAACCAACCACTAGCTGTTTCCGGAATCACTGAAGCAAATTCACACCTTAGAGCTTTGGAATAGCTAAGTGTTTGTCCTCAAATGTCCTTTCTTCTCAAGCAAACTTCTGTTTGCCTTTCAAATTCCATCTCAAGGTCAGGCGCTGCAGCACATGCGTGTAATCCCAGCACGTTGGGAGGTCAAGGTGGGAGGATTGCTTGAGCCTAGGAGCTCAAGACCAGCCTAGGCAACATAGCAAGGCCACTTCTTTCCAAAAAATTTAAAAGTTTAGCAGCATGGTGGTGCATGTTTATAGTCCCAGCTACTCGGGAGACTGAGGCAGGAGGATTGCTTGAGCCCAGTAACTCAAGGCTCCAGTGAGCTATGATTGCACCACTGCACTCCAGCCTGGGTGGCAGAGCAAGACCGTGTCTCTGGAAAAAAAAAAAAATCCCATCTCAAGGACTTCTTTATTTTATTTTATTTTTTAATTAAGATAGAGTTAGCTGGGCATGGTGGCTCACATCTATAATCCCAGCACTCTGGAAGGCCGATGCAGGTGGATTACAAGGTCAGGAGTTCAAAATCAGCCTGGCCAACACAGTGAAACCCCGTCTCTACGAAAATACAAAAAATTAGCTGGGTGTGGTGGCAGGCATCTGTAGTCCCAGCTACTCGGGAGGCTGAGGCAGGGAAATCACTTGAACCAGGGAGGTGGAGATTGCAGTGAGTCGAGATCACACCACTGCACTCCAGCCTGGGTGACAGAGTGAGATTCTGTCTCAAAAAAAAAAAAAAAAAAAAGAGTTTGTTTCACTCTGTCACCCAGACTGGAGTGCAGTGGCACAATCTCAGCTCACTGCAACCTCTACCTCCCAGGTTTGAGTGATTCTTCTCCCTCAGCCTCCCAAATAGCTGGGACTACAGGCGCATGCCACCACACCCAGCTAAAGTTTTGCTTTTGATTTTTAGTAGAGACAGGGTTTCGCCATGTTGGACAGACTGGTCTTGAACTTTTGGGCTCAAGTGATCTGCCCACCTCAGCCTCCCACAGTGCTGAGATTATAGGCGTGAGCCACCACGCCCAGCCTCAAATGACTTCTTTCCACTAACTTCCATCCCAGTCAATATCAGGCTGACTTGGCTGCTGTATCCCTGACGACAAGTCTGAATCCCTCTAAGTAGGCATCTGTTAGGTGGCCATCTCCCCTATCTTCTACTAACAGCATTTTTTTCCCCTGGGGAGAACAGCCACTCACCACTCTCAGTCTTGGGCCCAGGCAGGACTCCATAGTGGGCACATGGCCTGGCCTGAACAGTAAGAGTCTCCATTCCTCTCTCCACAGTGATTGTTTAGACACAGGCATTTGACCCAACGTGTGTTTTTAACAAAACGTTTAGGACAATTCTACTAGCTGTCAAGAAGACAGAGGTTGGGGAGGGCTTCTCTGCCCCTCTGATTGAAGAAACTCAGAAAGAAGCCAGCACAGATGAAGACAAAGTTGAGAGAGGGTGAAAAACAGATCGCTGGTGAGATTTTTGAGCACCTGAAAGTGGCCACACTTGGAAGTTTTATTTCATGTACCAAGCCTTTTTTTTCCCCTTGAGACAGGGTCTCACTCAGTTGCCCAGGCTGGAGTGCAGTGACGTGATCTCGGCTCATTGAAGCCTCAACCTCCTGGGCTCAAGAAATCCTCCCGCATCAGCCTCCTGAGTAGCTGGGACTACAAGTGTGCACCACCATGACTTGCTAATTTTTTTGTTTTTGTTTTATAGAGATGGGGTTTCACCTCGTTGCCCAGGTTTGTCTCCAATGCCTGGGTTCAAGTGATCTACCTGCCTCAGCCTCCCAAAGTGCCAGGATTATAGGCATGAGCCACTGTGCCCAGCCAAGTCATTCTTTTATGTGTTAACAAAACAGCTGTATTTCTGTCACTTGCAACCTTTTTCTCAGGCTCTGAAGGGGATTGTTTGCCAAACGGTTGCAATCCTCTCCTGGTAGTCACATCCTTGAGTACAGGGCCTTTCCACACTGACTCTGTGTTGAGCCATGTCTCCAATGAGACAATAGTAACTGTGACAGAATCAGCTAATAAATTGGAATGTACTCTCTTGCTGCTTTTGACCCCTGTGACCACCTTCATGTGAAAAAGTCAAGAAGAGACACGTGCCCAGTTATCTCCATTGTTCCAACCAAGAGGCCAGATGACCATCAGACATGTGGGAAGGGGGCAACCCTAGACCACCCAGTCCAGTGGAGCTGCCAGCTGACTGCAGAGATTACTTAAGCCAGCCCAGACCAGCACCGTTCTGCCAGACTCTTACATGAGAAAGAATGTTGCTATAAGCACCCATGTTTGGGGTGGTTTGTTATACAGCAAATGCTAACTGATGCAGGCTTCTTACAGGACATGGAGTGAGCTAATTTTTTCAGAATTAAACTAAATTTGGAAGAGAGAAAAATTTATCACTCCAGGCAAGAGAAAGATCAAAGAAAAAAAAGTGGTCAGATGCAGTGGCTCACCTCTGTAATCTCAGCACTTTGGGAGGCTGAGGTGGGCGAATCACAAGGTCAGGAGTTAGAGACCATCTGGCTAACACGATGAAACCCCATTTATACTAAAAATACAAAAAATTAGCTGGCTGTGGTGGCACATGCATGTAGTCCCAGCTACTCAGGAGGCTGAAACAAGAGAAGAAACTGGGAGGTGGAGGTTGCAGTGAGCCGAGATCGCACCACTGCACTCCAGTCTGGGTGACAGAGCAAGACTCGGTCTCAAAAAAAAAAAAAAAAAAAAAAAAAGCCGGGTGCCATGGCCCATGCCTGTAATCCTATAATCCCAGCACTTTGGGAAGCTGAGACAGGCAGATCACTTGAGATCAGGAGTTTGAGACCAGCCTGGTCAACATGGCAAAACCCTGTCCCTACTAAAAAAGTACAACAATTAACCAGGTGTGGTGGTGGGTGCCTGTAATCCCAGCAACTCGGGAGGCTGAGGCAAAAGAATTGCTTGAACCTGGGAGATGGAGGTTTCAGTGAGCCAAGATTTTGCCACTGCACTACAGCCTGGGCAACAGAACGAGATTATGTGTCAAAAAAAAAAAAAAAAAAAAAAGAAAGAAAGAAAAAAGAGGAAGCTCTAAGGGGTCTGCAAGTCTGCAGGGAGAGAACTAAGCCTTTTTTATTTTATTTTTTTGACATAGGGTCTCCCTCTGTTCCCAAGGCTGGAGTGCAGTGGCTCAGTCATAGCTCACTGCATCCTCCAACTCCTGGGTTTACATAATCCTCCCACCTCAGCCTTCTGAGTAGTCGGGACTACAGGCACATGCCACCACAGCCAGCTATTTTTTATTTTTGCAAAGATGGAGTCTCACCATGTTGCCCAGGCTGGTCTCAACTCCTGGGCTCAAGAGATCACATGCCTTGACCTCCCAAAGGCATGAGCCACTGAGCTCGGCCAGAACTAAGTTGTTAAGCAGCTGTGACTACGAGCAGAGCAGGTAGGGTCAAAGACAAAGAGACGTCTCCTTTGGGGAGACAGGAGGGATCAGGGGACAGAGGACTTGCCTGCAGGCGGCTCTATGGGCAACTGGTCTTCAGGTTCTCTGGAAGGCTGGTCCAGACCTGGGGAGTGGATATAGAGATTACAACTTAACACTAAGTCGGTGAGCTGAGATTGTACCACTGTACTCCAACCTGGTTGACAGAGCAAGACTCCACCTGCCTGCCTCAGCCTCCCAAAGTGCTGGGATTACAGGCCTGAGCCACTGCGCCCAGATAATTTTTTTTTTCCCCGAGACAGTCTTGCTCTGTCACCCAGGCTGGAGTACAGTGGAGCAATCTTGGCTCACTGCAACCTCCATCGCCCAGGTTCAAGCAATTCTCCTGCATCAGCCTCCCAAGTAGCTGGGACTACAGGCACCCGCCACCACACCCGGCTAACTTTTTTAGTAGAAATGGGGTTTCACCATGTTGGCCAGGCTGGTCTCGAACTCCTGACCTTGTGATTCACCCACCTCGGCCTTCCAGAGTGCTGGGATTACAGGCATGAGCCACTGTGCCTGGCCAATTTTTTTATTTTTTATTTTATTTTATTTTTTAAAGAGACAGAGTCTCTCTCTGTGGCCCAGGCTTGAGTGTAATGGCATGATCATAGCTCACTGCAGCCTTGACCTCCTGGGCTCAAGCTATCCTCCTGCCTCAGACTCCTGACTAGCTGGGACTACAGGCATGCACCACCACGCCTGGCCCAAAAATTAATTGTTGATGAGCACTTTCAGTGTACAAGATCCTTTTCACCTGAATTATCAATTTGTTGAGTTAACCAAAAAAGACTTTGGGCTCTCGATCCCTTAATAGAAGTATAAGTTCTAAAGCAAAGGAGGCAAGTGTCATACTTTATGTTTTAGTGTTCAAAGGGAAGACAGGAATGGGGTAGGGGGAAGAGCAGAGAAGATTGTAGAGATGAGAAAGTGTCCTTCCTTACATTGAGAAAAAGCCTGCTCTGTCAGGAAGAGGAAAACAGAAAGAAGAAGCTTGCAGCTGGGAGTGGTGGCTCACCCCTGTAATCCCAGCACTTTGGGAGACTGAGGCAGGTGGCTCACCTGAAGTAAGGAGTTTGAGACCAGTCTGGCCAACATGGTGAAACCCCGTCTCTACCAAAAATACAAAAATTAGCCAGGTGGGGTGGCATGCACCTGTAATCCCAGCTACTTGGAAGGCTAAGGCAGGAGAATTGCTTGAACCTGGGAGGCAGAGGTTACGGTGAACGGAGATCATGCCACTGTACTCCAGCCTGAGTGACAGAGCAAGATTCTGTCACACACACACACACACACACACACACACACACACACACACACACAAAGAAAGGGAAAAAAAACGAAAGAAAGAAAAAGAAACTGAGCCACAAAGATCTGTGCTATATATTTTTAGAAACTGAGACACTTGCCTATGGTCACCACAACTAGGAGGTAGCAGAGAGGGGATTTGAACCCAAGCTTCTCTGAACCAGGCTCTGTAAGGATTAACCATTGCAATACTGTACCTATCAGAATTGTAACATATTCATCATATTCAAGGAATTTGTCCTTCTTATCCTACTTGCTGAATTTATTGGAATAAAGTCATTCATAATATTCCCTTATTATCCTCTTAATGTCTGTGGAGTCTGTGGTAATATCCCTTCTTCCATTCCTGTTATTGGTAACTTGTATCTTCTCTCTTTTTTTGTCTTAATCAGCTTCATAAATGTTGCTGATTTTTTTTCAAATAACCAGCTTCCGGTTTCATTGATTTTTCCCAATTGTTTTTCTGTTTTCTAATTCATTAATTTCTGCTCTTACCATTATTATTTTCTTCTTTCTTTTTACTTTGGGTTTAATTTGTTTTTATTAGTTTCTTTCTTTCTTTCTTTTTTCTTTTTTTTTTTTTTTTGAGATGGAATTTTGCTCTTGTTGCTCAGGCTGGAGTGCAATGGCATGATCTCCGCTCACTGCAACCTCTGTCTCCCAGGTTCAAGTGATTCTTTTGCCTCAGTCTCCCAAGTAACTGGGGTTACAGGCATGTGCCACCACGCCCGGCTAATTTTGTATTTTCAGTAGAGACAGGGTTTTTCCTTGTTGGTCAGGCTGGTCTCGAACTCCCAACCTTAGGTGATCCACCCGCCTTGGCCTCCCAAAGTGCTGGGATTACAGGCATGAGCCATGCTTTCTTACGATGAAAACTTAGAATATGCATTCAAGGTGATTCTCAAAAGAAAAAAAAAAACAAAACTAGGCCAGGCGTGGTGGCTCACACCTGTAATCCCAACACGTTGGGAGGCCAAGGCAGGTGGATCACTTGAGGTCAGGAGTTCAAGACCGGCCTGGCCAACATGGTAAAACCCCGTCTCTACTAAAAATACAAAAATTAGCCAGGCGTGGTGGCGCATGCCTGTAATCCCAGCTACTTGGGAGGCTGAGGCAGGAAAATTGCTCAAACCTGGGAGGCGGAGGTTGCAGTGAGCTGAGATGGCACCATTGCACTCCAGCCTGGGCAACAAGAACAAAACTGTGTCTCAAAACAAAAACAAACAAACAAAAACTGGCCAAGCATGGTGGCTCATGCTTGTAATCTCAGCACTTTGGGAGGCCAAGGCAGGTGGATCACTTGAGGTCAGGAGTTCAAGACCAGGCTGGCCAACATGGTGAAACCCCGTCTCTACTAAAAATACTAAAATTAGCCAGGCGTGGTGGCACATGCCTGTAATCCCAGCTACTTAGGAGGCTGAGGCAGGAGAATTGCTTGAGCCAGGGAGGCGGAGGTTGTAGCGAGCCAGGATCGCACCACTGCACTCCAGCCTGGGTGACAGAGTGAGACGCCATCTCAAAAATAAAAAATAAGGCTGAGCGTGGTGGCTCAGGCCTATAATTCCAGCACTTTGGGAGGCCGTGGCAGGTGGATCATGAGGTCAGGAGTTCGAGACCAGCCTGACCAACATGGTGAAACCCCGTCTCTATTAAAAATACAAAATTAGCCAGGCATGGTGGCACATGCCTGTAATCCCAGTTACTCGGAAGGCTGAGGCAAGAGAATCGCTTGAACCCAAGAGATGAAGGTTTCCAGCCTGGGCAACAAGAATGAAACTCCGTTTCAAAAAAATAAAATAAATAAAAAATAAAAAATAACTAAAATAAGCACTTAATACTACATATTTCCCTCTAAATACTGCTTTAACTGCAACCTCAAATTTTTATATGTTTTCATTTTCATTTAATTCAAACTGTTTTCTAATTTCCCTTGGTCATTAATCACATTCAGACAGTATGGGTTGTGGTTAACGGCTGGTCTCCAGTTCATCTGCCCGAGTTTCAGTCTCGTCTTTATCTTTTACTAGCTGTGTGACCTTGGACAATTTGTTTAACAGCTCTAGGCCTCAGTAACTCATCATAAAAAGGGAATTGTATTGACTTCACTGTACTACCCTACACATCCTCTGAGGCACACTCCAACCTGCTCAAGCCTTCTTTCCCACCTGGGGTAGTGATGGGAAGCTGGGTCCCCTAGTCAGCCAGTCCACTGTCTCCCAAGGCATTGCTGGCCAGCAGCCAGACCTTGTATCGTGTAGAAGGCTGCAGAGCAGTCAGTGTGAAGGTGGTGGCCTGGGGTGGTAGGACATCCATATAGTGGAACCCTGGAGTCCCCAGGGCCTCATACCTGCAGGACAGGGGGGATAGTAAGTTCAGGGAAGTGCCCCAGCCCATTGGCTGCCTCCCCTTCCTTCCTGCCTCGACAAGGACCCACTTGATGCAGAACCTCTGTGGCAGGCCCCCATCAAAGCCCGGCTTCCACTCCAACTCCACAGAGTGTGGGGTCAGACTCACAACCTTTAATCCTGATGGAGGGTCAGGGCGGCCTATGGGGAGAAAGATGGGAAAGCAGTCAGAGGATACAGAAGAATCCCAGAAGATTCTGTCCAAGTTTTCCCTAGGAATGATTTTAAATATACAATTGCTTCTCATTGTTCACGGTATAGTCATGTTCTATAAGGTCACTGTGAACACTCCTCTGGCAAACATCAAACTGTTCCTAAAATCCCAGTACTTTGTGAGATCAAGGCTGGAGGATTGCTTGAGCCCAGAAGTTCGAGACCTGCCTGGGCAACATAGCAAGACCCTTTCTCAAATTAAACATTACAATTAAAAATAATTTTAAAAAGAAGTAAGTGAAAACAAAACCAAAAGAAACAGCAAAAAAAATTCAAGACCGAATGGTTGCTTCTATGGAAAATGAAGGTTAGGTTTCTTTCTTTTTTCATTCTTTTTTTTTAGATAGAGTTTCACTCTTATTGCCCAGGCTGGAGTGTAGTGGTGCAATCTTGGCTCACTGCAAACTCTGCCTCCTGGGTTCAAGCAATTCTCCTGCCTCAGTCTCCCAAGTAGCTGGATTACAGGTGCCCGCCACTATGCCCAGTTAATTTTTTGTATTTTTAGTAAAGACGAGGTTTCACCATGTTGGCCAGGCTTGTCTCGAACTCCTGACCTCAGGTGATCCACCCGCCTTGGCCTCCCAAAGTGCTGGTATTACAGGCATGAGCCACCGCGCCTGGCTTGGTTAGGTTTCTTTTCTTCTTCTTTGAGATGGAGTCTTGCTCTGTTGCCTAGGCTGGAGTGCAGTGGCCCGATCTCAGCTGACCGTAACCTCCACCTCCCAGGTTCAACAATTCTCCTACCTCAGCCTCCCGAGTAACTGGGATTACAAGTGCGCGTCACCACCCCCAGCTATTTTTTTTTTTTTTTTTTTTTTTTTTTTTTTTTTTTAGTAGAGACGGGGTTTCACCATACTGGTCAGGCTGGTCTGAAACTCCTGACCTTGTGATCTGCCCACCTCAGACTTCCAAAGTGCTGGGATTACAGGCGTGAGCCATCACACCTGGCTAATCCTAGTATTTTTATACCACTGTTAGGAAGAGAAAGAATTCTGTTTCCTCTGGGAATCTAACAGACCACTATGAGGGCCCTTAGAATAAAGCCAACACAGAGGTATGCAAACATAACAATGGAGAGGGCTGGGTGTGATGACTCACACCTGTAATCCCACCACTTTGGGAGGCTGAGGCAGGCACATCACCTGAAGTCAGGAGACCAGCCTGGCCAACAAGGTGAAACCCCATCTCTACTAGAAATACAAAAATTAGCTGGGTGTGGTGGCGGGCGCCTGTAATCTCAGCTACTTGGTAGGCTTGGCTCCAGAAGGAGCCAAGATTGCACCATTGCACTTTAGCCTGGGTGACAAGAGTAAAGCTCTGTTTCAACAACAACAAAGAATGGAGAGTTGCTGATGACAGCTGAACCTAGCTCCAGAAACCCCTGAAAATCTATTTTTCAGTTACTTGAGCTAATAAGTACCCCCTCTCCATCTTTTTTTTTCTTTTCTTTTCTTTTTCTTTTGCCTTTGTTGTGGGTCTCCCTGAAGATCCAGTCTCCACTAGGATTTTCAGGGCAGGCAAAAACTCCAGCCTCACATATACATATATTCTCAGGTTTCAGAAACATGGGCAGCCCAGGGCCAATCAGGGATGTGAGAATGGATCTAAGGAGCACCCCCTCCCCAACACCCTCACAGCCCCTCCATACTGATGCTGACGAATTGAATGTTGGCTTGGTTCGAGCCTAGGGGTTAGTGGCTGTGCGTGTGAAGAGGGCGTAATCCTGGGCTGCAGACACATTGGCAATGGTCAGGAGGCTGCTGTGGACACCACCCTGGTGGTATGTGTGCTCTGTGTACCTAGAGAGAAGGTAGGGCACCACTCATCCTTTCATTCACCCCACCACTTATGCTTGGAATCATCTATACAGACATCCATTCATTTAACCATCTGCCTATCTATCCATTCATCCATTAATCTTTTCATCCACTCATCCATTCACTCACTCATTCCTCCATGCATTAATCTTCCTTCTCTGCACCCTTCTCTGCAGGGACTCAGGGAGGGGAAATGGGGCTGGAGGTCCAGACCTGGGGCTGGAGTGCTGCCTGGCTGGGCCTGGGCTCACCTGGGATCTTGGAGATCCAGAAGGACCCCATTTTTGGTCCAAGTGAAAACGATGTTGGGGACACCTCGGGCACGGCAGTGGAGGGTGGCAGAACTGGTGCTGTCCCCAGCTGCAGCCACCTTAGTTAGGAGAGTGGGGTGCTCCACCTGGGGGGCAACTGGGAGGGGATGGGAGGTCAACATGAGCTATGTGGGAGGCATGAGGGCTGTGGGTTCAGTGGCAGGTCTTAAAGTCAGGTGTTTGGGTGATACCCACATCTGACAACAAGACGGACCAGCCCTCGTGCTGGAGGCGCCACCCCATTGTCCACGATGCACTGGTAAGCACCAGCCTGGGCCAGTTTGGCCTGGTGAATCTGCAGGTGCCCCGTGGGTCCCTTGGATATCTTCGCCATGTCATCCAGGCTCTGGTCCTCCTCCTCTTCTCCCCGGAGGCCCGAGTCAAGAATTGTCCTCCCAGTCTAGCCCCAGCTCCATCACTGCCCAAACTGTCCCTTTTGTAGCCTCATTCTCCTAGACACAATCACCCTCCACAGAGGTACTGAAGAAAAAAAAAAATTCTCCTGTCATCCATCTGTCTATTTACCCAATCCATCTTTTTATCCACCAATCCAGGCAACCACCTACCCATCCATTCACCCAACCACTTATGCTTGCAACCATCTATCCATCCATTTATCCATCTGCTTATCTATCCATTCATCCATTTATCTTTCCATCCACTCATCGGTTTACTCACTCATTACTCCGCCCATTTGTCTTCTTTCTCTGCACCCATGTATCCACCCTTGTAGCTCTGCACCCATTCACACAACTATTCACTCATGCTTGCACACCCATAAATGCATGCATCTGTTCAGATATTTACCCAGCTACTTATTTATTCATCTCTCCATTGATCTTTCCACCCATCCATCCATCAATTCATCCATCATCCTTCCATAGATATCTTTCCTCTGCTGGTGTATCCATTCATCCATCTACCCTCTATCCACTGATTTTTCTCCTTCAATCATCTTCTCACCCATCCACTCACCCATTTATCCATCCTTTCATTTGTCCATCTGTTCCTCCATCCACTCACTCATTCATCCACCTGTTCATCCACTTACCTACCTATCGACCCATCTATCCATCTACCCACTCACTCGCCTGACTGTCTACCATTCATCCATCCATCCATTCATTTTGCCACCAACAGTTATTCGTTCTGGGAGCATTCCCTGACGAGTATATAGTTATACAGGATCATACAGATGTAGGTGGTCCCCACTCCCAAGGAACTCACAGTCAAGAAACCACAACCCTTGGACTCCACCTCCTTTCACCAAAGGCTGGGTCCTCACCAGTCTCTCCCAGCTGAACATGCCTGGGAGAATGGGATTGGCATCAACCGTGCAGACTGTATCCACAGAACCCCCAACATTCACCTCAGTGGGGTCCTGGAGGGCACGGATGGTGGGAGCATCTGGTGGAAGGCAGAGGCTTAGGGAAGGCACTTGGGACCAGACAGATCTCCGTGGGAGAGGGCCCCAGGTGGGAGGGATGTCTTAGGAGTTCCAGGAAAGTTAGAGATGTGGACCCAATCTGCCCTTAATACGAAAGAGTTGGAGGAGAGTTCTCAAGGTTAGCGAGGTTGTCTCCACCCTCCACTATGCCTCTGTGATAGAGTGGGTTGGGTGGGCTTCCAGAATTGTGAGGGGGGGCCTTCTACAATGGGCTCCCATTCCTGACGGGAGCAGCTTCCGAGTCTACGTCGGCCCCCTCTCTGGGCAGAGATTCAACACTGGGTCTCTCTAGTGGAAGGGGTTCCGCCGTGGGCGTGGTTACACCGCGGCAGGGACTACCAGAGCCAGAGCGGGAGGGTTCCAGGATGGGTGGCTATCCCCGGATGGTCGGAGCTCCCACAAGGAGGAGACTCCACATTGGGCAAGGTTCCTTTGGTGGGTGTGGTTTCCATGGTGGGCGGGACTCACAGTGCCCGTCCAACCGCAGCAGCGCTTCCGAGGTCCCCTGGGAGTTCTGGCAGTGCAGCTGATAGAGGCCGTCGTCCGCGGGGTCACATTCCACAGATGCAGAGCCCCGCCTGACAGGATGCGATGCCGGGGGCCGCCCGCTGGGGAAGGCCAGAATAAAGGATCTGGCAGGCCCTCCCATTCCCGGGACCCCTCCTCATGCCCACTTCCCTCACCTGGACTGAGGCGATAGGCGCAGAAGGTCCAGTTGAAGGCCTCGGGGGCGGGGTTAGCGGACACGGACACGGGCAGCAACGCCTCACCCTGCTCCACCGCGGTCACCACCAGCACCTGCTCCCCCAGGAACTCTGGACGGTCTTCAGAGGGGGCGCCACAGGGAGTCAAGATTGTTGTCAAGGTCAGGATCAAGGACAGATTGGAGATCAGGCACAGGTTCAAGGGTTAAAGTGGGGAGATCACTACGGGTTTAAGGTTGTGGACAAGGCAACAAGTTCAGAACTGAATTCAAGGGTAAAGTTCGGGATAGAAATTAGAATACAGTTTAGGAAAAGAGTAGAAGCCAGCATCAGGTTGAAGGATGGAAAGAGGGGTCATGATAGGGATCGGGGTTAGGAGAGAGGACAAAGGCAATATGGGAGTGGACAGGATAGGATTTGGCCCAGGACTACTGGTCAGGATGAAGGTAGGGAGTTTCAAGTTTCAGGATGGGGTTAATGATAGAGTGATAGTGTCAAAGCAAAGACCCAGGCCAGGCTCAGTGGCTCACGCCTCTGCTCCCAGAACTTTGGGAGGCCAAGGCAGGAGGATCACTTGAGTCAAGGTGTTCAAGATCAGCCTGGGCAACTTAGAGAGATACCATCTCTATTTAAAATTAAAAGTACAAAAAATCAGCCTAGTGTAGTGGGATGCGCCTGTAATGCCAGCACTTTTGGAGGCCAAGGCAGGAGTATCGCTTCAGCCCAGGGGTTGAAGACCAGGCTGGGCAACATAGTGAGGCCCTGTTGCTACAAAAAAAAAAAAAAAAAACTAGCCAAAAGTGGTAGTGCACACCTGTAGTTTCAGCTACTCAGGAGGGTGAGGTAGGATCACGAGCTCAGAAGCTGGAGGCTGCAGTGAGCTATGATTGCGTCACTGCATTGCAGCCCCAGCCACAGAGGGAAACTCCATCAAAAAAGAGAGAGAGAGAGAAAGAGGAAGGAAGGAAGGAAGGAAGGAAGGAAGGAAGGAAGGAAGGAAGGAAGGAAGGAAGGAAGGAAGGAAGGAAGGAAGGAGGGAGGGAGAGAGGGAAGGAGGGAGGGAGGGAGGGAAGGAAGGAAGGAAGCCAGCCAGCCAGCCGGGCGTGGTGGCTCACGCCTGTAATCCCAGCACTTTGGAAGGCCAAGGCGGGCGGATCACCAAGTCAGGAGATCAAGACCATCTTGGCTAACACGGTGAAACCCCGTCTCTACCAAAACTACAAAAATAAAATTAGCCGGGCATGGTGGCAAGCGACTGTAGTCCCAGCTACTCGGGAGGCTGAGGCAGGAGAATGGCGTGAACCATGGGAGGCGGAGCTTGCAGTGAGCCCAGATCGCACCACTACACTCCAGCCTGGGTGACAGAGCCAGACTCCATCAAAAAAAAAAAAAAAAAAAAAGGCGGGGCGGGGGGCAGGGGGCGCGGCGGAGACGCAAGGAGTAGGTTAGGGTCAGGAAGGCATCAAGAGGACCTTTCCGACCGGGGCACATACACAGGACGTTGAGGCGATAGAAGGAGCTCACGGTTTCGCGGAGCTTGGCGCTGTGGGCGCGGCAGGTTACGCGTTGGCCATGATCGAGGGATGACACTTGCAGAAGGACGCTTCTGGCCGTGGCGGAGCCTTTGAACGGGGCTCTCCGGGGCGGGACGGCCAAGCCCTCCAGCCTGTGGACCCGGGGTGAGGCCAGGGCTGCTAGCAGAGGCAGAGGCTGGAGAGGGGCTAGGCACCGGTGGGACATGCGTGGAGCCGGGCGAGGCCAGAGAGGGGCGGGGTCCCTCACACTCCCACCTCTCGCCTTCCTTGCCCCAGGACAAGTTGACCGGCGGGTTGCTGCTAACGCTGATGCATGTCAAGTTTAAGGCGTCCCCCGGGGGGCAGTGCGGATGCGTTGGCCAGGATCGTCACGTTAGTTGGGGGAACTGGGAGAGGGGGTTGGAGGAGCGAGACTCAGAGGTTAGGGGCGGCCTGGTCTCCGTCCATCCCGCCTGCACCCCAGGCTCCCTCCAGTCTCGGGTGCCCCACCCCGCCCCCGCCCGCACCCCCCGAGTCCAGGGTTCGCTGGGTCCCTGCCCCACCTGGCTCTGTCCTCCACCCTGTCCTGCCCCGGCGGAGTCCGCCCCCGGGCCTCAGCCGTGCGCGCCCTCACACTGCACCGCCAGCTACGTGGACGCGCTGAGCTGGCCAGCCTTGCACATGAACTTGGCCTGGTTGTCCCACGGCCCTGTGACCAGCACCAGCTCTCGGGAGAAGGTGCTCCCAGATTTCTCCACGTTGCCGAGCTGCATGCACCGCGGCTCCTGCGGCAGCAGCGACTCAGTCACAGTGCGCGAGTCCTATGGGGCGGGAGTGACTGGGGGCCGCAGGCAGCCCTGCTGCTTCCACCAACCCCCAACTCCCGCACCCTGCCCACTGGGTTGGTGCTGCCAGCCCAGACAAAGCCTTTTGGTGATACGGAGAAACACCGCCATCAGCGCCACCCCCCTAGGGCAAAGCAGTGGGGAGTGGAACTGAGTAACCCCTGCCTTGGAGTCTCTCCCGCCTCCCCGGATCCCTGTGCATGGCAGTTTTGGGGATCTGAATCCGTCTTCTGTACCACACCCAAACCCCCGCTCCGCCTCTGCAGCCACCTGCGGGTCCTCAGCGCACTCCTCAAAATCTGTTTCTGCTCTGTTTACCCAACACCACGTGCAGGAAACTCCCTTGAAATTCCCAGGCCTTTCCCAGAATGCCTCAATTCCTTTTCTTAAAATTCCCACTGTCCCCAAAGATTTCCTTTGAAATTTTCCTTAATTCCAGTGCCTTTCCATAGATTACTTTCTTTTTTTTTATTGTTGCTGCTGCACAAATTAAACTTTCCATAGATTCTGAATATTCCCGATATTATATCTTATAATCCCAGTCTTTTAACAGATTCCTTTATATTGCCCAGATTCTCAGCACTTCCCCAGAATTCCATCCTATTAAAATGAAATTCCATTGTCATTTCTATAATTCCTAGTCTTCCCCCCAACATTTTCAACCAGCTCCCTAACTTCTCAGGATTTTCTTAGAATTAGGCTTCTCTTTCATTTTAACGAAATTTCATTTTCTTACCTCCAAATCCCAAGAATTCGATTTAATACTAATGAGTTTTCGATAGTCTGTGGAATTACTAGCTTTTCTCCAAATTTTCTTTTTCTTTTTCTTTTTTTCTGGGATTCAAGTCTTTCCCTAAAATTCCTGACATTTCAGCTGAATTCTGAGATTTTTCACTAGAATTTTCCTTAATTTTAACGAAATTACCTTTTCTCTAGAATACCTAATCTTGATTCAGAATTCCAATTTTTATTCTAGAACTCTGTTTCCCCAGAATTTTCCTAGGATTCCATTTAATTCTCATGGCATTTTTTGTCTTTCCTGATTCCCTGCCAAACCTCAGAATCTCTAGTACTTTTCCAGAAATTTAATCTTTTTCCAAGATTGCCCAAGATTCTGAAGGAAAGAAGGGGGCCTGGTCCTTCCCCCACATTCCTGGCCACCCCCATAGCCCTGGTGGCACCAACCTTGTACCATGTGAGGGAGGGCTCTGGGTTGCCCCTGATGGCCAAACACACCGGCCTCACCCGGGTCCCAGCCCGGAGCTTCTGCCCCTCTGGGGCACACTCAGTCCACAGTTTCTGGGCGGGATCTGAGAGGAGAGGCAGGAAGAGTAACTTTTTCTCTGGGCTGGGTCCTGAGGCTTGGGGGCATTGCTGGGTAAGGGCAGACACTCACATTTTACGTTCAGGGTGAGCAACTTCTTGAAGTTCTCCTTGGCGAAGGCTTCACTGAAGGCCTCACATGTGAGGGTCAGACCGTTGTCCTCCCGCCGCACCAGGAATGTCAGGTTGGACATGGAGATGTAACCACCATGTAATCCCTGGCAGGGAATGAGCTTCAGATGTGGGGACTGCAGCACCCCCATCCATTGTGTTAGAGGCCTGAGTCCATCTCAGTCTCCAGCAGGGACACATGAGCCATCTCTAACACCCCTCTGTTGGACCCATGGTCCTCAAGGAGAAAGCCCCCAGGCTGCTGGACCCATCCCCTTCCCAAGCCACGAGTCATGCCCTGCACCCCCCATGCTCAGACCCAGGAGCCTGGCCCCCGCCTCACATCCATGATCGTCTCCTCCATGGGCAGCAGCTGCCGCCAGCCCAGCCACCATCGTAGCAGGACCCGTGGGCGACTGGACTTGCTGACACAGGAGAGTGTCACGTTCTTGTTCTCAACCTGGGATGCAGATCCCAGGATAGTAATGGCACTAGGGGGAACTGCAGGGACAGAGAGGGAAGACATTAAGCTGAGCTGAATTTCTCACATACCAGCCCAGAGAGAACAACAGGACTGGAGACACATGCTGAGATCTTTGACATCCAGTAGGCATAATTTGGGGGCACACATAGATGGTTCTCTGAGGCACAGACCGACAGGTGGGCAGCTGGCACCAGGACTCACAGGTGACCTGCAGCATGATGCTGCGCTCCTGGGTCCCTGCAGACACGCTGTTATGGGCCTCGCAGCTGAGCCGCGCTCCATGGTCTTCTGGCCTCACTGTCATCACCAGCACACTGCGGGCCACGGCCTGGGTGTGCTCTGTGCCCCACACTGTGGACGCCGGCTGGCTATTCTGGAGACAGGGACAGGCCTGGGCCAGCTCAGGACCAGCTCCCGGCCTCCGCTCTCCCCACAGTTCCCGTGCCCGCGACTGCCCTCACCTTCAGCCACTGCAGTGTGGCTAAGGGATTCCCCCCTTGGGCCACACATGGCAGCTCCAAGCTCTGTCCTGCCCGCACATGCCCCTCATCCAAGCCTGGCCACTCGATGACAGGGGGTCCTGGAGGGACTGGGAGATATCAGTCACTCAATGGGCCTGGAGTAGCCCATCCACTCTTTCCAGGCCCCACAACCTGCTTTTGAAACCCCATGTTTCTCTGAGTGCCTGAATTTCCATAATTCCTGTGATTCCCCTACACCCCCCAGTGCCTGCTCCCCATCCTCAGCGCCCTAGTTGGCCCAGTTCTCCACTTACACAGAACATTCACGGTGAATGAGGCCTTGATGGGGGCCTCCAGTGCTGGGCTAGACGCCTCACAGACTAGCAACTGCCCATTATCCGAGCTCTGGGGTGTCACCCTGGGATGAGAATTCATGGTTCTGGAGTCAGAGTCATCATCCGAAATCTGGGGAGTCAGGGAGAAGAGGTGGGGATGCCGCCTCTGGTCCCCACACCTGGTCTAAGTCCCCATGGCGACCTCCTCTGGGATCCAGGGTTCCATGGGAGAGATTCTGGGAGTCAGCAGCGAGAACTGGAGCCTAGAGAGACCCACATCTGATCAAACTTTAGTGCCTGGGACTCTGGAACTGAGGTTCCCATGAAGTTTTTTTTGTTTATTTGTCTTTTGAGACAGAATTTGGCTCTGTCGCCCAGGCTGGAGTGCAGTGGTGCGATGTCAGCTCACTGCAACTTCCACTTCTTGGGTTCAAACGATTCTCCTGCCTCAGCCCCCTGACGAGCTGGGAGTATAGGCATGTGCCACCACGCCAGGCTAATTTTTGTATTTTTAGTGAAAACAGGGTTTCACCATGTTGACCAGTTGATCTTGAACTCCTGACCTCAGGTGATCCACCCACCTCAGCCCCCCAAAGTGTTGAGATTACAGGCATGAGCCACCACCCCTGTTCCCTGTGAAGAAGCTTTGAGAGTCAGCTTTGAGAGTTCCCCATGAAGAAGCATTGGGTCGCAGATGTTCATACGTAGCCCAAGCTTCATGCTTTCATCCCTGGGGTCTGTGGTTCCCATGGGGAAAATTAGGGGTCATGGTTGGGGTTTTTTTTCAGTTTCCACACCTGGCTGTGGCCTCCACAGTGAAGAGCTTCTGCTGGGAGCCCTCGTTCATATTTGCAGAGATGTCGGATATTGTCTGTCCACTTTGGGGCAACAAGAGGGCTAGAGGGGTTCTGGGCTCCCCGCAAGATAGATTCTGGGGAGCATGGCCTGGAAGTCCTCAGGGTGGATGTGATGCCCCCTCCCTCCTGGTTCTAGAGGACAAGGGCCTGGAGCACAGCTGCATACCCTCCCGACTTTCTGGATGGCCTGAAGGCTGCAATCTTCAGTGCTGGGTCCTGGGCCTCCCCACTCCTCTCAACTCCTTGCTGGGTTGTACCATGTACCCCATCCCTCAGCTTCTCATGTTTGCACCAGCGCTACTGCCCATATCTCTATCTGGTCCTCAGCCTTGTGCTGGATGCCGCCTCCTCAATGTGCCCTCCCATCCACTGTGTCCCACACTGGCCTCAGCATCTCCTCACACCTTCTCCTGGGTCCCCATCCCAGGGATGACATCTTTTCTGGGGCCCTTAGGAGGGCACTGGTCAGGAACACACACCCTTCCCACTCCAGAGGCTTCATGCTGCCCCCGGCCACCCAGTTCACCCTCACTCACTCAGGAGAATGGTGATGTCAGGTGCTGGCTTTGCATCCCCAGACAAACAGCTGACCACATACTCTTGCCCAGCTACCCAGGTGACAATGGTGCCTGCCTCCGGGGTCAGGTGGAGCAGCTTGGGAGGAACTGGTGAGAAGGGTCTGGGGTAAGCTTCCAGCACTGAGAAGGATTTGAAGGTTGGAGCTCGGTACCGAGGTTCTGGGAGAGGAGAAGCTGGGGGCTTGGACTCCTGGGTCCTGGGGTAAGGGAGGGCTTGAAGCCCAGACTCATGGGTCCTGGGGGTCTGTCACCCATACCCAGGATGGAGAGGATCACTCTGGGAGACACGAGCTCGGGCCCCATCACGGAGCGGCTCCGACCTGGCACTCATACTGCGCGTCATCGCTGAGGTCACAGGCCTCGATGTGCAGCTGGAATTCACCTGCTGGGGGAGCTGGAGGTCAGGGTTGCAACTTGGGCTGGTGGCTGAGGGTCTCAGGCTCTGATCCCTTACCTCTAGCAGGGTCCCCTTCCAGGCGGTACCTCGGGAAGCCTGGGATCCTGGGGTGGGGGCCCAGGAGCAGCCCATCTTTGGCCCATTGCACCGCACTGCCGGGGTGCTGACCCCACACCGCAGCTCCACCGAGGCCCCCTTCACCACTGCCAGGTTTTCAGGCAGGGCCCAGAAGCCCTGGGGATTGGAGGCAGGAATCACCAACTGCGCCAGGCCTGGGGACACACCAGGGTGCAAGGAAAGGGCAGAGGGTTTGTCTAGGGAAGGTAAGTGGGAAATGGGGGCCACTTGGCACTGGGTACAAGGCTGGGATCCCACTCACCTTCAGTCAGCAGCCCCAGGAGCAGGAGAGGAGCCTTGAGCATCGTCCCCAGGGCCATCACAGGTCCCCCTACTGTTACCCCCACAGTGCCCGCAGCCAGCCACCTGCGTCTGTCTGGCTCTCTCTGAGTCCCTCTCTTTGTGTCTCTGCCATCTGCTTTTCTTTTTACCTCTGTTTCCATTACTCTCCTCCCTTTCTCTGTTTTCCTCTCCTGTCAGTGTCTCTCTATCTCTGTCTTGCTCTCAGTCTCAATCTCTGAGTCTCTCTGTCCCTTTAAAATAATTTTTTTTCTTTTTTTTTTTTTTAGAGACAGGGTCTCACTATGTTGGCCAGGTTGATCTCAGACTGTTTCCCTCAAGCCATCCTCCCGCCTTGGCCTTCCCAAGTGTTGGGATTACAGGCATGAGCCAGTGTCCCCAGACTGTCTCTTTATCTTTCCATCTTTCTCTCTTTGTCTAAGGCATTCTCTCTCCTTTTTTCTCTGTCTCGTTCTCTCTCTCTCTCTCTCTCTGAGTCTCTTATCTTCTCTCCTGCCACCCCTCACCCCTGCTCCTTGTCTCACTACTCACGGCCTCTCAAGAAGGACCTGCAGCTCAGAGTCTGGCAGACCAGGAGCCCAGGAGAGCAATGAGGCTGATGCAGGCACTGGTAGAATTGGCCCTGCTCTCTGACCCAACTTGAGCTCATCCTCACAGTGCAACCTCCCCCAGGTGCCCTCCAGAGCCCCCAGCTCCGGCCTCTGCCCAGCAGGCTCCTCCCAGCCAGCTGGGCTGGAGCACAAAATCCCCTGTCAGCACAGGCCAGGCGTGTTCCTCCGTGCCTTCCCAGCCTCCATGGCCCCAGAGCCTGGCTTAGGCTGGGAGGATGGGAGAAGTCAGACCTAGGTGGTCTCCCAGCTCAGCAGGGCAGCAGCCAGCTGGGCTCCCAGTTCTTCCCTGCCCTGATACATGACCCTGGAAAGTCCCTTTCTTTTTCTTTTCTCAAGGTAGTCTTGCTCTGTTGCTCAGGCTGGAGTGCAGTGGCATGATCTCGGCTCACTGCAGCCTCCACCTCCTATGGCTTGAACCTCCCAAGTTCAAGCAATTCTCCTGCCTCTGTCTCCTAAGTAGATGGTACTACAGTCATACACCACCAGGCCTGGCTAATTTTTGTATTTTTACTAGAGACGGGGTTTCATGATGTTGACCAGGCTGGTCTTGAACTCCTGACCTCAGGTGATCCATTTGCCTCGGCCTCCTAAAATGCTGGGATGACAGGCCTGAGCCACCGCACCTGGCCTCCCTTCCTTTCTTGAGTAGACATTAGCGACTAAATGATGTCAGGGATCTCTGCTGGGGAGTATGAAAGAGTGAGTGTGAGAGACTGGGAGAGTGTAAGAGAGAGGGAAGATATCCGTGTGTGTACATGGGTGTGAGAGTGGGGAACGTTAGAGTGAACTGTGATCTGTAATAAGCACATGGAGAGCGTGGGTGTGTGTGACAGTGTCTTACATGGGAGTGCACAGGGTGTGGGCAGGAGTAAAAGGCAGAGTCCAATTCTGCTGGCCCCCAGTATGGGTGCAGTGTGAGCCCAGAGTGGACGCCCTTTGGCAAGGACTGCATGAGCTTTCTTCTGTCTCTTTTTCTTGCCATCTCCCCCATCTCTTCTTTCCTTCTCCATGTCTCTCTCTCTTCCTCCCTCTATCCATCTTGATTTATCTTCCTTTCTTTTGAGATGGAATCTTGCTCTGTTGCCCAGGCTGGAGGGCAGTGGCATGATCTTGGTTCATTGCAGCCTCAACTTCCTGGACTCAAGTGATCCTCCTGCCTCAGCCTCCTGAGTAGCTGGGACTACAGGTACGCACTACCACTCCAGCTAACTTTTAAAAATTTGTTTGTAGAGAGAGGGTCTTGCTCTATTGCCCAGGCTAGACTGCAGTGGTGTGGTCATGGCTCACTGCAGCCTCAAACCTCCTGGGCTCAAGTGTTCTTTCTGCCTCAGCCTCCTGAGTAGCTGAGACTACAGGCCCACATCACCATTCTGGTTTTTTTTTTTTTTTTTTTTTTTTTGAGAAGGAGTCTTGCTCTGTCACCCAGGCTGGAGTGCAATGGTACGATCTTGGCTCACTGCAACCTCTGCCTCCCAGGTCCAAGTGATTCTCCTGCCTCAGCCTCCCGAGTAGCTAGGAATACAGGCATCAGCCACCATACCAGGCTAATTTTTGTATTTTTAGTAGAGACGGGGTTTCACCATGCTGGCCAGGCTGGCCTCAAACTCCTGACCTCAGGTAACCCACCTGCCTTGGCCTCCCAAAGTGCTGGGATTACAGGTGTGAGCTACTGCACCTGGTCACTTGGCTAATTTTTTTAAAATGTTTTTGCAGAGACAGTGTCTTGCTACGTTGCCCAGGCTTGTCTGGAACTCCTGGGCTCAAGCAATCCTCCCATCTTGGCCTCCCAAAGTACTAGGATTACAGGCATGAGCCACCGCACCCAGCCCTTGATTTGTCTTTCTTTTTTTCTTTTGTTTTGTTTTCTTTTCTTTTTTTTTTTTTTTTTGAGATGGAGTTTCGCTCTTGTTGCCCAGACTGGAGTGCAGTAGTGTGATTTCGGCTCACTGCAACCTCCGCCTCCCGGGTTCAAGTGATTCTGCTGCCTCAGCCTCCCTAGTAGCTGGGATTACGAGCATGCGCCACCACGCCTGGCTAATTTTTTGTATTTTTAGTAAAGATGGGGTTTCTCCATGTTGATCAGGCTGGTCTTGAACTCCTGACCTCAAGTGATCCGCCCACCTCAGCCTCCCAAAGTGTTGGGATTACAGGTGTGAGCCATCGTGTCCAGCCGATTTATCTTTCTATGTTTCTCCATCTGTTTGAGACTCTTTCTCTCTCTGTATTAAGTGGTTAAGTCTCAGTCAATCTTTATTTCACTGTCTCTCCGTCTCTACATGTCTCTGTTCTTCTGTTTCTCTGTCTCTGTTCTCACTTCTGTCGCTCCTCTCACCCCACACTCTGTCTCACACACACCAGGAGCTCCATAAATATTTGTTCTTAGCCACACTCTGACCACGCCTCTTTCTCTTATGTGTCTCTCCATCTCTGAGTGGCTCCCCTCATCACATCCCTGGATTTTATAACCATATGCTGGTGGGCCTGCCCTCCCCGCGTGCACATACACTCGCCTGGGATAAGCTTCTTCTGCCTGCTTATCTCCTGCGGGAATCGGAAATGCTAGTTTTCTCCCCGCCTCCCCAAGAACTCGGCCCCACCTGCGTCTCGTTCCCCAGGAACCAGATGAGGCATCTGGCCCCAGCCCCCAGCTTCATCCTCCATGCTGGCCTTCCCTCTTCCCTCACATGCTTGACCCCTTGCCCTCCTCCCACCTCCCCTCTCCCAACTGCCCCCTACACCCCCTGGGAAATGGGCTGGATGTCGAGCTGGGGGGGCGGTGGCTCTTTCCTGGGGGCCCTTGCCAGATGGTGACCCAAGGGGCCAGAGCATGGAGCTGTCCCTTGCTGGGGCCTTTAATTAGCACAAACCTTCCACCCTCCACCTTGTCTGTTTTCCTTCTCCCAGTGCTCTTGGGACCTTGGGCTCTCCATCTTTCCATGTACATGGCCCCAGAGAGCCAGGAAGGGGAAGCTGCACCAAGTGCCTGGAAAAACAGTCCCACTACTTGAGTTCCTCCCCAAGACTCAGGAGTTCTGGGCCCATGCCATCCTATTTCAAAATCCAGGCACTAGATATGCCACATAGAAGCCAGGAGTGTAGGCCCCCAGACCCCTCCCCTCTCAGACCCTGGGGTCTCAGCCCCTTCTCTCCAAGGACTCAGGAATTTGGGCCTCTGATCCTCCTGGCCACCCTACCCGCCCCTGCATCCCCCCGCCCCCCACCAGCCCCATACACACACACACACACACACACACACACACACACACACGACTTAGGACAGATGTTCACCGTCTGATTTCCAAATCCTCCTGGGCCCATGTGGGGGTGGGGAGAGATTGGCAGTTAAATCCACCGACTCTAAGACTTAAGACCAGATATTCTGACCCCTGTCACCCTCTTCCAAGTGCACCATGCTGCAAGCAGGAGACCTAGGAGTTGAGTCTCCAGCCTCTCAAGGAACCAGGAGATCAGGCCATCAGCGTCTCAGCCAGCAAAGGCCTCAACCACCAGTCCCTTACAATCCTGTAAGTCCAACCCCTACTCCCAACCCCACCCCGCCATTTAGGAACACAGAGTCTGAGCCTAAGAACAGCGTAGAATCTGAATGTGGACCCCCCAGTTCTTACAGGTCCAGGAATGTCAGATCAGGGTCCCAGCTCCCCAGCCCTCCTTCAGGCTGCTCGGGGTCCCTCCCACCTGCTTGGCCAGCTGCGCAGCGTGGGAACGCCCCAGCTGGGCTGCATGGAGCCTCAGGACAAGCTGCGCGGTTCCCAGCCTCCCTGCCTGCCCTGGCCAGGCACCGCCGCCTCCCAGCCGTCGCCAGGCAACCAGGCCGAGGTGCCCGGCCAGCGGAGTGGGGAGAGGGGCTGGGCCGGGACTGCGGGGTCCTGGGAAAGGAGGGGCCGGGGTCCTGGATTCCTCGGTCTTAGGACGTTTGCAGCCATAACAAGGGAACAGCCCTCTGTTCCCCACTTTGAGGAGGGGTTTTGAGGCTGGGGGAGTCAAGGCAGGGGTCCCAACTGTCCCCCAGGTATTGGCGTGCCCTCTTCCCGACCCGCAGGCCAGAGGAGCCCCGGACCCCGCCTCCCCAGGGCGCGGAAAGTGGCGAGGCCCCAGAGGCCCCCATTTATAGCTCGGTTTCCACTGAGCGCAGTCCCTCCAGGACCTGGGCTGAGCAAGTTTCTTCCACTCTTTCCCTTCCCTCCTCCTCACCCCCATGCCTGCCCCTCAACCTTGGCAGGGCGCAGGTGTCCAACCCAGCCCGGACCCCCTCCTGGAACCCAGGTGTTCTGGCTCCCAGACCCCAATTGAACTGGGGGCGTCCACCCGCCGGGGGACCCCGCCCTGCATCCCCCATTCATCCGCGTCCAGCCCCGGGAGTTTCTCAATGGGAAGAGGGCGGAGCTCCCAGGAGGCGGACCCGGGCGGGGCGATCTGGATTGGGCCCTCTTGGGGTCTCCCAGAGACCCAAGGCGCGGAACTGGCAGGCGTTTCAGAGCGTCAGAGGCTGCGGATGAGCTCACTTGGAGGACTCCAGGCCAGAGACAGGGGTTCTCTAGGCTGGGGCGAAGAGTCGAGCGCGAAGGGGGCTCCGGGCCAGGGTGACAGGAGGAGTGCTTCCGAGGAAGAAGTTGACAGGGAGGTCCGTGCGACTGCAAATCTCGTGAACCTTGGGGGACACACGCTCAGGATGCTGGTCCCCGCCCTCCTCGTCCTGCTCTTCTGCTTCAGAGGGAGCGCAGGTACCCCACGAAGGGAGCGGATGAATATGGGGTGGGTGTGGGGGGATTGCTTGCTGGGCTGCCCCTTCACTAGGGAGAAGGGAGTTGGGGGCTGGGACCCCTGGGTCCTGAATGAGGGGGCTCTTGAAGGTGCTAAGCTCAGCCCTGCTGCCCCCAACTTTCCTAGACCCGCGCCCCATTTCCTGCAACAGCCAGAGGACCTGGTGGTGCTGCTGGGGGAGGAAGCCCGTCTGCGGTGTGCTCTGGGCGCCTACTGGGGGCTAGTTCAGTGGACTAAGAGTGGGCTGGCCCTAGGGGGCCAAAGGGACCCGCGAGGTAAGACGGTTCTCTCCACGCTGGGACGGGCTGGCTAGGGGTAGAGTTGCTGGGCTCGGCTGTACCTGCAGTTTCTATTTTGACATTTTAAGTTTGGGAAATTGATGGGCTTGGGTAAACATTTAGGAGTCCTGATTTTTGAGCTGCTTCTTTGAGGGTAACCCATAGAGTTTTGGAATTATTATGTTATTGCGAAATAGTAAACAGGCCAGGTGCGGTGGCTCACGCCTGGAATCCCAACGCTTTGGGAGGCTGAGGCCAGAGGATAGCTTGAAACCAGGAGTTTGAGACCAGCCTGGGCAACATAACAAGACCTTATCTCTAGAAAAAATATATATATATTTTAAACAAATTAGCCAGGCATGGTGATGTGCATCTGTAGTCCCAGTTACTCAGTAGGCTGAAGTGGTAGGATTGCTTGAGCCCAGGAGTTCAAGGCTGCAGTGAGCCATGATCAAGCCACTGCACTCCAGGTAATGGTGAGACCCTGTCTCAAAAAAAAAAAAAAAAAAAAGGAAAAGGAAAAGAAAGAAAGAGAACATAAATGCAAAAAATACAGTAAACATAAACGGAAGGTTTACCAAATAATATAGACACTCACACAGCCAATACCCAAGTCCACTGCCAGCTCCCCAGAAGCCCCCGTATTCCTTTCCCCTATCATAGCCCCCCTCCCCCTCACTCCAGAAGTAGTATCTAACCTAACTTTCATGGCAATCATTTTCTTGCTTTCCTTTCTGAATTTATTACCACCAAGTTTGCAGTGACTCTGGGTTGGGAGGGAGTTAGAGTCTCTATTGGCCCAGTACACACTCTTTAATAGTGTCTTACCACCAAATGTGTGGACCGGTCAGAACCATGGCGTGCTGCCTCCTCCCTGACTCCAGGGTGGTCCCGGTACTGGATATCAGGGAATGCAGCCAATGGCCAGCATGACCTCCACATTAGGCCCGTGGAGCTAGAGGATGAAGCATCATATGAATGTCAGGCTACACAAGCAGGCCTCCGCTCGAGACCAGCCCAACTGCACGTGCTGGTAAGGACCTCACCCACTTGTCCCCTGGGAGCCCAAGGGGGCAGCCAGTATTAGCTGTGAGTAGCAGAGTCCAGGGAGCCCAGGGGAGTGGTCAATTGGAGCTGAGAGGATCAGGATCCATCTCTGACCCCAAATCCACCTTGCAGTCCCCCAGAAGTCCCCCAGGTGCTGGGCGGCCCCTCTGTGTCTCTCATTGCTGGAGTTCCTGTGAACCTGACATGTCGGAGCCTTGGGGATGCCCGCCCTACCCCTGAATTGCTGTAGTTCCGAGATGGGGTCCGGTTGGATGGAACCACCTTCCATCAGGTCAGGTCCAAATTCCTGTGCTAGCCTTTGCCCATTCAGGAAAACTTGGGGTACACTCTGACCACAGGCTCATCCCGAGGAGAAGAAGACATGGGAGGGCAGGGGTTCAAGGGTTTGGACTCTTGAAATATGATGCAGGGTCAAGATTCTAGGGCCAGACTACCTGGGTTCAAATCATGTCTCAGCCACTTGCTAGTTGATTGATCTTTAGTTAACCTCTCTGTGCCTCAGTTGCCTTATCTATACAATTGGAATAATAATAGCATGCATGTCATAGGGTATGGTGAGGATTAAATAAATAAATACCTATAAATGCCCAGAAGAGTGCCCAACACATAGTGAACCCTATATAAGTAAGGCAAGCTTATCCAACCTGTTGTCTGTGGGCTGCATGCAGCCCAGAATGGCTTTGAATGTGGTCCACCACAAATTCATATACATTCTTAAAACATGATGAGACTTTTTTGTAACTGTTTAGCTCATCAGCTATCATCAGTGTTAGTATGTATGGCCTAAGACAATTCTTCTTCCAATATGGCCCAGGGAAGCCAAAAGATTGGACACCCCTGATGTAAGGGGTAGATGGCATTATTATTCTTATCCATCCCTCCAGACCCTGCTGAAGGAAGGGACCCCTGGATCAGTGGAGAGCACCTTAACCCTGACCCCTTCCAGCAATGATGATGGAGCCACCTTGGTCTGCAGGGCCCGGAGCCAGGCCCTGCCTGCAGGAAGGGACACAGCTATCACACTGAGCCTGCAGTGTGAGTGCAGCTGGCCCTGGGAAAGAGGAGTGTGGGGCCCTGACTCCTGGGTATGAGGAAGGAAGGGACTGTGGCCCCTGGGGAATGAGGAAACTGGGACCTGGATTCCTGGATCTAAGAGAGCAGGAGAGGGCCAGGTATGGTAGCTCATGCCTGTACTCCCAGAACTTTGGGAAGCCGAGGCGGGCGGATCATCTGAGCTCAGGAGTTCGAGACCAGTCTGGCTAACATGTCGAAACCCGTCTCTACTAAAAATACAAAAATTTGCCAGGCATGGTAGCACACGTTTGTAATCCCAGCTACCTGGGAGGCTGAGGCAGGAGAATCACTTGTACCCCGGAGGCAGAGGTTGCAGTGAGCTGAGATCCTGCCACTCGGCAACAGAGTGAGACTCCGAGCAGGAGAGGACAGATGGCTGGGGGTCCCTGGGGAAAGAGGAAGCTGGGCCTTGACTCTCACATCTGGGAGAGTAGGAGAGGATAGAAGTAACTGGGGGAATTGGGAACTGAAAGCCCAGACTCCTGACTCAAAGGGAGAAGGGGATTAGGGGCCCAGACTCCTGGGGTGGAGGAACCAGGGACTGGACCCTAGGCCAGTGACAGAGGTGTTCCTGGTCCTTGCCCACCTGACCATTGTCCCACCCTCACAGACCCCCCAGAGGTGATTCTGTCTGCTTCACCACACACTGTGCAGGAGGGAGAGAAGGTCACTTTCCTGTGCCAGGCCACAGCCCAGCCTCCTGTCACAGGCTACAGGTGAGGACGAAGACCACCTCTCCCTAGCCCCAAGAGTGAGCTTGGGAAGGGCTGGGACCTGAGTAGGTGTGCCGGAGAGCAGGGACAAGGGTAACAGCGCCACCATTTCCTCAGGTGGGCAAAAGGGGGCTCCCCGGTGCTCGGGGCCCGCGGGCCCAAGTTGGAGGTCGTGGCAGACGCCTCGTTCCTGACTGAGCCCGTGTTCTGCGAGGTCAGCAATGCCGTGGGTAGCGCCCACTGCAGCACTGCGCTGGATGTGCTGTGTGAGCTGGGGCGGGGCTGTGGGTGGGGTCAAAGGTGGGCGAGGCTTTCAGGGTTGCTGAGGGGCGGGGCTTGGAAGGGCAGGGCCGGGAGAGTGGGCGTGGGGTATTAGGAGAAAGAAAGAGTGGACTTGGGGCATATTCTTGCCCCCTAGGGTGTGGTGTTTCTATGGGGCTGATCCCGGGTCAGGGACTGCATTCCTCCCCGGCCTTGTGACCTCTCATCTCCTTCGTCCAGTTGGGCCAATTCGCAGGCAAAGCCAGAGCCCCTGTCCGTGGACGTGGGGGAAGACGCCTCCTTCAGCTGCGCCTGGCGCTTGAACCCGCTTCCACGGGTAACGTGGACCCGCCGCGGTGGCGCGCAGGTGCAGCCCTAAATCTGAGGTGGTGGCTGGCGGGGAACCAGGCTTCCTTGCAAATCCGGCTTCTGACGTCCCTTCCCTGTCGCAGGTGCTGGGCTCTGGAGCCACATTGCGCCTTCTGTCGGTGGGACCGGAGGAGGAAGGCGACTATGTGTGCAGGGCTGAGCCTGGGCTCTCGGGCCAGTGGGGCGGCGCCGCGGAGGCTCGGCTGACTGAAGGATGAGAAGGCGCAGCTTCCTAGGGGACCTAGCCCGTCCTGGGATAGGGAGTGGACAGAGTGGGCAAGGGCTAATGCAGTGGGAGTGGCCTGGAAGGAGCTTTACACCCAGCGGGGCCTGGAGACCGACCTATTAAAGGCGAGGTTTTTAGGGGAATCGGAGTTTGGAGGCAGCATGGCCTGACTGATTAAGGTTAGCGGAGAGTGCGCTGGCCAGACCAGGCTTTGTTACAGCCTTTGCGGAGAGCAAGGCCTCTCCTCTGAGTGACCCACCGTCTCCATCCCAGCTCCCCCAGTAGTGACCGCCCTGCACTCTGAGCCTGCCTTCCTGAGGGGCCCTGCTCGCCTCCAGTGTCTGGTTTTCGCCTCTCCCGCCCCAGATGCCCTGGTAAGGAAATATCACTCCTCCTGTGACCCATCCAGCCGTGATCCCTGACCTCCCACCTGGCCCCCCGAAACTACTGTGACCATCTCTGCCTTCCCAGACATCCCTCCTGCTTCTTCCTCCCTTCCTCAGTCTCCTTGGTGTCCTCACTCTTTTATGCCCCCAGGTCTGGTCTTGGGATGAGGGCTTTCTGGAGGCAGGGTCGCGGGGCGGGTTCCTGGTGGAGACATTCCCTGCCTGGGAGAGCCGCGGGGGACAGGGTCCGGGCCTGATCTCTGTGCTACACATTTCGGGGACTCAGGAATCTGACTTTAGCAGGAGCTTTAACTGCAGTGCCGGGAACCGGCTGGGAGAAGGAGGTGCCCGGCCCAGCCTGGGCTGTAGAGGTGAGACCCCCGCCCGAAGACCCCAAATCTAGAGAGTCTAAACCCCACAAACTCAGGGATCCCCCAGCCGATGGTTGCAAAACCTCAGACCCTCAAATGCAGAGACCTCCAAACCTTGGGAGTCTCAAAACTGTGGCTCATTGATTCCCAAGACCCCCCCCAACCACAAATGCCTTCACATTCTGAATCCTAAACCAGAAGACTCCTCACACCTAGGGACCCCCAAAAGAGAAACTCCAACGATTGCAAAGCAAATTGCAAAGTAAAGGACCCCTCAAACTCCAAGACCTTCTAAAGCCAGGGAGTTTAAACTCACTCTCAAACTTGGGGAACCCCAAATTCAAGGGCCTTTGGATCTCCAAATGTGCAACCTTTTGAACCCAGGGATCCCAAACTCAATCCCTGAGCCCCTGCTTCCTGGTTCACCCTCAGCCTTCTCAGGATGTCCCCTCTGCTCCCTGCAGACCTGCTGCCCACTGTGCGGATAGTGGCCGGAGTGGCCGCTGCCACCACGACTCTCCTTATGGTCATCACTGGGGTGGCCCTCTGCTGCTGGTGCCACGGCAAGGGTTAGTGCCTGAGCCCCGCCCCAGCTCCTCAGGCGCCAGCCCCACACACACCCTGCCTGCCCAGTGACCTGACCTGGCCTTGGGCCTTGGCTCCAGTCCCATTTCCAGCTCTGCTCAGGGCTTAGTTCGCCTTGAGGTTCTGGTTCCCTCCTTAAGCCCTAACCAGACCTTCCCAGGGTCACATTCCTAGGTGGGAAGGATTCTTATTGGTTTCCAACATCCCCACCCGATCCGCCTCATTAGTTCCCAGTCCTCTCTCTTCCCGCTTATTGTTCTGCACACATTGTGACCCTGTCCATCGCTTAACTCCACCCGTCGCTGTTCTTCAGCCTCAGCCTCTTTCTCCGAGCAAAATAACCTGATGCGAATCCCCGCAGTTTGCGAGGCCCTGAAGAGGAGGAGACAGGCCGCTGCAAGGACCGGGTAGGATGCCAGGGTCTCCAGACCCGACTGTGCCTTTAGACCCAAATAGTAGCCCAGTCCCAAGAGGGCCCCCACATTCAAACAGGACTCTAAGGCCAGGCATGGTGCCTGACGTTGGTAATACCACTTTGGGAGGTGGAGACACAAGGATCACTTAAGGCCAGGAATTTGAAGCCAGCCTGGGCAGCATAGCGGGACCCTATCTCTACAAAAATACAAAATAAAATAAAATAAAAAATGAACCGGGTATGGTGGCACACACCTATAGTCCCAGCTACTCAGGACACTGAGGTGGAAGGATCCCTTGAGCACAGGAGGTAGAGGCTGCAGTGAGCTATGACTGCACCACACACTCCAGCCTAGGCTACAGAGCAAGACCCTGTCTCCATTAATTTTTTTTGTTTTTTAAGTAGGAGGGTTCTAGTCTTTTTTTTTTTTTTTTTTTTTTTTTTTTTTTTTTTTTTTTTTTTTTTAAACAGAATCTCACTCTGTCACCCAGACTGGAGTACAGTGGCACAATCTAGGCTTACTGCAACCTCTGCCTCCCTGATTCAAGTGATTCTCCTGCCTCAGCCTCCTAAGTAGCTGGGATTACAGGCACCTGCCACCACACCTGACTGATTTTGTATTTTTAGCAGAAATTGGGTTTCACCATGTTGGCCAGGCTGGTCTTGAACTCCTGACCTCAGGTGATCCACCCGCCTTGACCTCCCAAAGTGCTGGGATTACAGACATGAGCCTCCACGCCAGGCCTGAGGGCGCTAGTCTTAACAGTGACCCCGCACCCAAATGTCACCCAAGTCCATGCCCCTGACCCGATTATTCCCTAGGCCCACTATATCCCCTCAGCCCTTTTTTTTTTTTTTTTTTTTAGAGACGGAGTCTTGCTCTGTCGTCCAGGCTGGAGTGCAGTGGCGTCGAACTCAAGCTCCACTGCAAGCTCTGCCTCCCGGTTTTACGCCATTCTTCTACTTCAGCCTCCCGAGTAGCTGGGACTTTCCCTCCATCTTTAAAGCCTACAGCATAGCATCTTCAAAAAAACCTATCTGACTCCTCTTCTGCCTCACTCTTACTTTAAAGGACACGTGTGATTGCAGTGGGCCCACTAGGATAACCCAAAGATAATCTTCCTATTTTAAGCTAATCATCTAATTTGCAAACTTATTTCCATCTACATCCGTAATTCAGCTTTACCACATAACACGATCTATCCATAGATTGTAGGGATTTGGGTCTGGCATCTTTAGGTGGGGACATTCTACTTATAACAATATGTAGAAAATTACTGCCTAATGTAAACAAATTGTAATATTTATTGTCTCTCTCTGGACAGATCCCTAAAGCACTTCATCTGTATCTGCAATCCTATGTTTATTTTTAAAATATAGCTGTGAATAAACATCACAAAATTATTGGTCAATTTCAGTGGTGCATTCATGTTTTGATATTAATCTTTGTAATTTCCTGCATTTTAACTAGTGGAAATAAAAATACATCACATGTAAATAAATATGAATGCAGTGAAATTATTATAGAGAACTAGTTCAATGAAAACGAATAACTTATCTTTCTTTTAAGCATAACATCTATAAATTTAAGTGCAGTTTTAAAAGGGGAAAATGAGTAGAAAAAAATAAAAGAATTACGTAATGTACAACAATTATTAAGGAAAAAAGCCCATTTGTCAGAAAAGAGTAAGTTATATGCCATTAAAGAAATTAGAAAGTATCATTCAAATAAAAAAAAAAAACAAATAAGATCTACGTGAATGTAACTTGACAAAACAGCAAGAATTTCAGATATATTCAACATAGCCATGTACACAGAGAAACTTCTACCTTAACTTTGAAGTTCAAAGTTCCTCCTGAGCTTAGGGAGGGTGTTGTGCAGTTCCAGGGAAGAAACAAGTCCAATTACAATCTGTAAAGTTTTCCACTACCAACAGTAGGCTTTTGATCTGAGATTGCCACACGTGGTTTATGTTCTGTGAAAGGCAGATGTACAAATAGGAAAGCTCTCTACTAAGTCTTGGCAAATGCCATCAAGAAGGTAGGAGGGCTGAGTAACAAGCGAAGTTGATACTATAAAGAAAGTATAAATTTATGTCTCTTTGTCCCAATGAAAATGGCCATATTGAAAAAGATGCAAACTATCGCAAGAACAGATAACCAAATACTGCATGTTCTCATTCATAGGTGGGAACTGAACAATGAGATCACTTGGACACAGGAAGGGGATCATCACACCCTGGGTCCTATTGTGGGGAGGTGGGGGGGGAAGGGATAGCATTAGGAGATACGCCTAATGTAAATGACGAGTTAATGGGTGCAGCACACCAACACGGAACATGTATTCATATGTAACAAACCTGCACGTTGTGCACATGTACCATAGAACTAAAAGTATAATTTAAAAAAATTTTTTTAATTTAAAAGAAAAGAAAAAGATGTAGAAATGCAAGGTGAAATGGAGAGGGGAGCAGTAGGAGACTCAATTGCAAATTAAATTACAATTGTGTAAATTTTGAGATAACTGTAGCCTTTAAAATATTTGAGTAAATATTTTTATCTCTAAATGAAATATTATTCAAAAATTTTTTTCACAGATGTGTCATGGCATTTAGATATTTTGTAGTTAGTATTGCATGTCCAGAATAATTAT